GCAGCCTTTAAATGTAAGCATAGAAGTTGGAAATCTGTTTCCAGCCCATTTCTTATAATGGGCTCTGACCAGATCCAATTAGATAATAGTTGTTGTTTTTTTAGCAGCCATAATCATGCAAATCTGCACAAAGCAAGCACATAGTTAATTGGAAAAAAGAAGTCATGGCAGCAGTCAGGGATTAAAGGCTGTTGATTGGCAGTGGTTTCTACTCACTGTCTTTGTTTTTTTCAATCTCATTTTTCCCCCTTCCTTTTCTTAGTTTGTGATACAATCTGTCAGCTCTTCACTAAGTGGGAGAAATGGACAATTTTAGGCACCGGCCTGAAACTTTGCTATAACAACTTTGAAATGTGATAACAGCTTTAGGCACAGTATCTCTCAGAAGTTAAGACATACATTTTTGCCTCTTTTACAATTACAGGCATCTGATTATATGTGTTTTCAGCTTCGTGCTTTGAGCAGCAATGTGTGGTCTTAGCTGTTTCTTCCTTTTAACTGCCAGTGGGGGTATGAACTGATTGGGTGGGAGCCCAATCAGAACACAGCCAAGCTCCCACCCAATCAGTTCATACCCCCACTGGCAGTTAAAAGGAAGAAACAGCTAAGACCACACATTGCTGCTCAAAGCACGAAGCTGAAAACACCAGCCTGAAGATGACGAATGAGACTTCGTCGAAACGTTGCCAAGACACTTCCAATTTTACGCGGGAGAAAACCCGAACAACCAAAGACCTATATATATATAAACCAACAGAAGAATAAGTGCACGCATTGAAGAACATAAGAACTCAGTCAAAAAAGAGGAACCAACATCTTCCCTGGTCCAACACCTTAAAGCCACAGGACATGAAATTGACTTTAAAAATACCAGAACCATTGCCAAAAGTGAACATTTTAATAACAGAATAATCAGAGAAGCCATCGAGATAGAAAAACGCCCACACAGCATGAACAAGCGAGATGATACCTCCCGCCTACCAGCCATTTGGAAACCTGCCCTTATTGACAAACGACTCCCTAACCCCAAAATCTTAAACCCCTCTGCAACTCAGACTAACCTGAGCACAACCAAACAGAACACTCCCCCAGCCAATCAGAGCACAGCCAAGCCCCTAACCATTCAGAACACACCTCCACCCAATCAGAACACAGCCAAGCTCCCACCCAATCAGTTCATACCCCCACTGGCAGTTAAAAGGAAGAAACAGCTAAGACCACACATTGCTGCTCAAAGCAAGAAGCTAAAAACACCAGCCTGAAGATGACGAATGTGACTTCGTCGAAACGTTGCCAAGACACTTCCAATTTTACGCGGGAGAAAACCCGAACAACCAAAGACCTATATATATATATATATATATATATATATATATATATATATATATATATATATATATATATATATATATATATGTAAAGTCATATTCTGGTCTTGAATATCAATTGCATAGAAATAGCCATGTTGCTTTCTTGACAACAGTACAGAAATGGTTTGTCTTTGCCTTTTCTTTTAAAATTTTATTCTGAATGGTTGATACACTGGTTTTTCCACCCAAGTACTTTTCAGGCCCAAATCTTCCTAATTTCTTTCTTTTGTCTTTCTTTGGGGTCATCCAAGGGCAATGATTATGACATTTGTTTAAACTTTGAATCACTTTGGTCACAGGCAAATTCAACATATTATGTGCCATGAAGTTATTGTCATCTCTTAGTGGCCACATAGATTTTCTCCATGATAACCTGACCTAACCTGGCCTTTCAAGTCTTCCAATGGTGCATCCCTTGCCAGTGTAACTGAATCTGGTATTGGGCCTCGGCCTATTGGCCACCGGGCCCTGGGAATAGCTGGTAAGCCCCGCCCCACTCACAGTAGCACTACCGTGCAGGCACTAGCAGCCTCATTTGTGCATGCACGGAAACACTAGTACTGCTACCAGCATCACACAAACACTGGTGACCTGTTTGCCCCAGCATGCACGTGCCAGCGCAAGTGCCATGGGCACATGCGGTCTGTTTGCGCATGTATGCATCCCACTTGCACACACATGCGCACACTAGCACTGCCATTCACACGGCCGTTTGTGCATTCTTCTGCGAACACATTTCCCTGCTGCTCCCTTTCCTTCTGGGCCACCAAGGTTGGGGAACTCTGCACTATGGTAAAAAAAAAAAAAATCTAGTTTAAAGTTAGCTAATGTCAGAGCAACAATCAGCTTGACCAAATATAGAACTTTATCCTGGTCCTCTAGATCAGTGGTTCTCAACCTTTTTAATGCCGCGGCCCCCAACCGGTCGTACGTCGAGGACTACCCAACCATCGTAAGTCGAGGACTTTCCCTACCCGGGAGCACTGCACATGCATGGTGCCACCCCTGTGCTGGCTGAGGCATAGCTGGCAAGCGGCAGAGACGGCGCAGGCCAACCACTGGCTGGGCCACCAGCTGGCCCAGCCCAAGGGAGGTAAGGCACCCACCGGGCCCCACGCACGCCAGCAACCCTCCCTGCGCCCGCCGGCCTCCCACCTCCCACCCCGGCCCTCTTTTACTTACATTTTTAGAAGTTGCTCAGCAGGGAGGGGTGGAAACTTCCAGACAGCTCGCCTTCGTTGCAGACAACTTGCAGCATCGTTTGCAGAATGGGACTTTTGGTGGGCTCAGCAGGGCAGAGACAGCCTGGACAATTCCTATTGGCTTTTGAAAGCCAATAGAATTAGACTCTATTCAAGAGAGTCTATTCTATTGGCTTTCAAAAGCCAATAGAATAAAAGGGAGTAGCACAGTTAAGGAAAAGGGGGAAAAAACGGCAGACTGCGTTGTTTGGCGACCCCCGTGAAATGGACGTTCGACCCCAAATGGGGTCCCGACCCACAGGTTGAGAACCACTGCTCTAGATGTTGCTGAACCCCATCTTCCAGCATATGGAATGAGTTTTTATCCAGCATAATTTGGAAAGTCACAAGTTCATTTCTGACCTGCCTACATCTTTATTAGAGCAACAAAATAGCCTTGTGACACCTGAAGAATAACATGAAGTAGAAACCCTCTGACTGTTCATGACATAATAAACATGTTGGTCAGTCATTAAGATGTGCAAGGGTTGTGGCTGTTAATTGCTACAGTGAATTACTAACATGGCTGTAGGCTTTTTATGTATGTATGTATGTATGTATGTATGTGTATGTATATATTTTGTTTGCTGCCCATCTCGCCATAAGGTGACTTTGGGCGGCTTACAACATTAAAATGGATCCATAAATAATATGCATAAATATATAAAATCACATTAACATTACAATAAAATAAATGTTATAACCAAATGTGGGAAGGAGAATATTGGGGGGAGGAATGGGAACTGCTAATAGATGATCAAGCACCTCTCATGGGAAATTCCCCTTTTGAGCCCAAGCCAACTGGCAGACCCAGGTCTTCAGGCTCTTATGGAGGGTCAGAAGGGTGGGAGCTGATCTCACCTCAGAGGGAAAGATGTTCCAAAGGGAGAGAAGGCTCTTCTCTTGGACCCCACCTGCTGGAATTCCTTGATTGATCTGCACTATGCCTCCTCTACCTTTGCCAGTGGGGCGGGCCTGTCTCATAGGGATGAGATGGTTCAGGCCGCTTCAGAAAAAAAATAACAGGTTACAGCTAAGAAATACTTGGTGGCTATTCAAATGTGTGTATATTCTTTTTAAGGGGGTGGAGATGAACTTCCAAATATTTGGCCTGGGAAAAAGGAAGAACCTCGCCTCATAAGAGTTTTTAAAATACATGAATTTAACCAAATCCCATCTCAATAGATGGCTTCCACTGAAGTTCATCCATCACCCTGGCTGTTAAACAGTTCTCCTAAACCAGGGGTCTTCAAACTTCAAAACTCTAAGACTTGTGAACTTCAAATCCCAGAAATTCCCAGCTAGTGTGGCTGGCTGAGGAATTCTGGGGATTGAAGTCCACAAGTCTTAAGGTTTAATCAGAATAGAGCTTGAAGGGACCTTGGAGGTCTTCTAGTCCAGGGATTCCCAACCCCTGGGCAGTGGCATGCCAGCAACTGGGCCACACAAACAAGCAAAGCCCCATCTGCGGGATGCAGGCAGCACATAATACCACACCCCCTCTGGTCCGCAGAAAAACCTCTCTCCACATAACCGGTCCTTGGTGCCCAAAAGGTTGGGGATCTGTGTTCTAGTCCACCCCCCCCCTGCTCAAACAGGAGATCCTGTATCCTTTCAGATAGGAGGCTGTCCAGTCTTCTTAAAAACCTCCAGTGATGAAGCATCCACAACTTCTGAAATATTGACAAGTTTGGAGACCCCTGTCCTAAACAAAGAAATGACACTATGTTTTATTTCCTTCATACATTTTATTACCAACAGTAAATGAGAAAAAGCATGTCACCTCAGGACTCCTGATGTTCATGACAGAAAAGCTTGATTGGAATGAATGGGAGCTTTCTTCCTAATTAAAATTCCAAGCATGGTAATTTTATATAGACTAGAGAGGGTCTCTCACAGCTACAAGAATGTTTATGTTGGTGTCAGAAGGTTAAATTTCCTATTAACCCTCTTACAGAGATCTTCCTAGAAAACAGCATTACTTCAACTGCTAACATCTTCATGCTGCCTTTTAGTTTTTAACCAACCCTATTTTGCATGGTTCCTATCCTCTTTTGTGGTATTGCCAAATATATTTTGTAGTGACTTTCTGAGGATCCCAGGTTCTACTGTCTGCAAACAGTATTTCTTGTTTCCCATCGCTGTTACTAAATCGAGCATCAGCAGGCACCAACTTTCTGTAGTCTTTCTCAACCTTAGCAACTATTGTGTGGACTTCAACTTCCAGGCTGGCTGGGGAATTCTGGGAGTTGGAGTCCACGCATTTTAAAGTTGTTAAGGTTGAAAAACACTGCATTGTTCCTTTAATAAGAGCGGTATTCCACCTGATCCACTGTGAAAGGAGACTAGAGTTTTGAGCTTTTATGCCTGAAAATGAAAACACATAACACAATGGGTCCAATATTTTATATTCAAGTTCTGTCTTTCAGTTGATAAACATGTAAGTATTCCCAACTACAGAAGAAAGGAGAAAAAATAGTGAAAGCAGACATTAGCAAGGCTGGCAATTAAAAAAAAAGATAATTATGTATCCTTCACAGAAGGTAATATTCACAGTGTTGCACAAATACATAAAATTGTTCCAACCTCTCCGAAATATAAAACTACAAGCTTTTTTTTGCCACCTAGATAACAGTCCATTGATGTGACAGCAGCTTGACTGGCCAATTAAAAAGCTAATGTTGTTTTTTCTCCCATTATCTCAGTGTCAAGGATGGAGACAAATAAATTACAATTATTCCCAGCGTCTACATCTATTTTAGGAAAATGCAATACTGAGAAAATAAAGGACTTAGTGACAACTGAGAGAGAGGGAGAGAGAGAGAGAGAGAGAGAGAGAGAGAGAGAGAGAGAGAGAGAGAGAGAGAGAGAGAGATAACTTTTTTCTTCTCTTCTTAAAAGGACAAACTGAAAAGAAAAAAAAAAACCCTTAAATTCCAGTAGTTTCTGACTTTCATTCAGACTCTGTTCTGGTTGCAGGATTATTTCAATCAATACTGAGTTTTGTCCTTCAACTTCATGGGTTCCTGATTCACCAGCAATAAAGTCTCAGCAATTACAGCAAAGAGGATAATCTTGTTTGAAGGTCTTAGAAGTTTTAACACCAGTAGAAATGTGAACAACGCACAACTCTGTTTCATCCCAGTATATTCCTTCATGAATGCCATTGTTCCCAGTCCCTAGCCGCATGTACATGTACGGAATCTCCAATTCAGCAATTAAAAATAAGAACTTAACACTGAATGATACAGACCAATACATGAATCAGCATTTACCATTAGCCAGTTTAAATTATAAAAAGAGTCTAAAATATCATATCCAAAACACACATTTCTTCATCTGTTTGCAGAATATAAAGGTCAAGTGATCCTCACAGGGTAAAATTGAATAAAACTGATACCATAGCTGAGAAGGTTCTATATTGTGGCCAACATTACACAATCTGACGCATCTTAGACAATATTGTGACAAGATGAAGCTTTTAAAATAACTTGAGTGAGCAGGGAGGATGCTATGGAAGATATATTTTAGCTTTATCGGTTTCATGTTCTGTACTGTAAGGATTATATTGTGGATTATATTGTCCTAACTAGAATGGATTTCATAACAGAGGTTGTAGCCTACAAGTAAATTGATTTGTCAGAGTCATATTTTCTCTTATCAATTTAACATTTAACAGGATGGAGTTAGGACAGTTCTGATGCTCACCACAGTAAAAGACAATTACTGGAGGAATAGTAGCAAAAAGCATAGCAAAAAAGCCCATTAATGATACCAGCCATATTACAGTTTATGTAATTTTGGTACATAATGTTTCTTGCAGGCCTTATACAAGAGTGAAGACTATGGAGTTTAATGAAGGAACTGCATAATATAATTGTTCTGATAATTTCCTGGGCCTGATAAGAATATAAAAGAATTAGAAAATATATCTTAAAAAGATTTACGTGTGTGTGTGTGTGTGTGTGTGTGTGTATAAGGTTCCAGTTTTGTACAATGTGCATGTATTAATTTATGTGTAGAATTGTATAATTAGAATTATTCTAAAAATGCAAGGCATTTTCCCCATTGTAACAAAGTGATAACCTCCCTAATTTATGGGTGTCAACGATATTCCGTTCATTTTCTACTAGTCAAATAAGGTATTATACATGGTTATATCCAGATCATTTACACATTTGAGAAACCAACTTTAGATCATTTGCATTTCATATAGTAAAAATTTAAGTGTGCACATTTGTTAATATTCTTCTGACACAATGATTTACCAGTCATTCATAGAACAAAATAAACAGTTCTAACAGAATACTTTGAAGCATGATGAAACAAACACGAACTAGACCAGAAATAATTCATGGGCTTTTTACAAGATATACCTAACCAGTTAAATTAAAGACTGGTTCTATTCACACAGCATGCTAAGTTTGGGCAGTTTTTAATTTTGTGGTGTGTGTAGCTTAACACAGTGAAAATCTAGCCTCTTTAATTAATCTGATTTCATGTGCTACACACAAGAAAAAAGTTAAATAAATTAAACATGTTGGGTGAACCAATCATTTTGGGGCAAACATACAAAGTCCCAAATTTGCTTCCCTTCAATCAGGACTACAAGGTGAGTACACACATTGGGCCTGCCATTTCTGCAGCTGGAGAACTTGTAGCCAGATGTTAAATAGATGTTGCTAACTAGTTTCTATCAACCTTATCGATGTTGCAAGGGGCTGCTGATAGTTGGAACCCAATATTTGCAATAGGTCAGATTCCTATGCCAGATTTATAACATTTTATGCAAGAAAAATGTTAAAGTGAAATTCTAACTGAAATGTTGCACATCAGTTAAAGGTGCTTCTTCCAGATTTTCTAGTAAGGGGGCAGGATAGGTGATCCCCAATGTTTACTGCGAAATAATAGAAACAAACTTTTTCTGGGTAATCATATGGCATAGCACTTAAAGGACTGGATATGGACCAGAGAGATTCAGATTTAAATCCACCTTAGGTCATTGAATGACTTTGAGCTAGCCCCTCTTGAGATGGTTACTGTCAAGAAAAAAAACTATAGAAGTGCTATGTATGCTATCTTGAGGTACATGAGAAAAGGTGTATAAATTTAACGAACAATGTACAAAGGACTTTAGAGTTATAAGTATTTAGACAGCTTTTTTCTTTAAAGTTTATGCTGCAAGAAGTATCGAAAGCACAACATAATCTCTCATTTTAAATTATTGTGATCTCCACCCTTATTACTAATTAGCAGCATGAAGCACCAAGCATGCTAACAACTAACAACATGACAAATATTGGTTCTCATTTGCTAGGCACTGTTCTACACCTTATTAAATTGCTTCTGCATTGTGGCCAACAGGTGCATGGAAAGGCCAATTATGTTTTATGGGAAAGACTATAAAACCCTTATCACAATCTTTTAAAAGCCAAGGAGGACAGTATAAAGGAGGGAAATGCTCCAGAGATTGACAAACTAGAACTCCAAGCACCTTGACCATGTTGGTAGGAATTGTAGTTCAGCTCTGAAATGTCACCCATGCTAGAAGATGAAACAAACACAGTGTAGACCAGAAATATGGGCTTTTTACAAGACATATCTAACCAATTAAAGACTGGTTCCATTCACATAGCATGCTAATCTTGGGCAGCTTTAATCTCAGTTAAATATTCTTTGTTGCTCAACACATAGCGAAAAATCCAGCCTCTTTTAATCTATGATTTCATCTGCTATGAAACTAAAAAATAAGTTAAATAAGTTAAGCATGTTACGTTAAAACCAATCACATTTGGGGCAAATATACAAACTCCAAAGACCTTCCAAAGGTTGACAAACTATAACTCCCAGCATCTTGGCCGTGCTGCTAGCCTTTGTAGTTCAATAAGATCTAAAATATCACCCATGCTAGAAGATGAAATGCTGTAATATTTGAGATATTACATAGATCAAAATCTGATTAAACTGAGTCCAGGATTATTGTCCAAGCAAATGGTCCCAGGTTGTTTGCAAGTAGTAGGCAGCTAAGTGGCTGCTGTTGGGTGAGAAGGTTGTATGGGTGGCCAACAAGACATGGTATGAACTCCGCAGGGGTAGCTGCTTCTGGGCAAGTGAGGATGTGCAGATCGCTCATGAGGCACAGCATGAGCGCAGCAAGGCCAAGGGTGGCTGCTATTAAATGGGGGGAGAGTGTGAACTATCTACCTGGGAGAACTAAATCTTCCCTGCCAGTTTCCCCATTGAGGTTGCTGGCAGGGAAGATTGCAAATGGTAATCATATGATTGTGGGATGCTGCAACCGTTGCAAAGCGCAAGATGGTTGCCAATTGCCCAGATGGCAGTCAGGTGACCTTTCAAGGACCAGTTGTAAGCATCACTCATTCAGCATAGTCACTTCAAGCAGTTGTTAACTGAGGACTATCTGTAACCATAGGAAGATAACGCCAGAAGTTAATGTATGGCCCCATATTAGTCAAGATATACAACTGTATGGTCTTGGTATTATGTCACAGTGTAAGGCTTCAGACAACTTTTTGCAAGATAGGATCTGGAAAAAATGGATGAAATTTTACTACAGCTTTCCTGCCTATTTCAAATTCTGATAAGTAGGCCTAATTTATTTACTTTTTATTTATTTATATTTCCTATTTTTAAGCCACTCATCTCCCTCAGAGAGGAGCTCTCTTTACTTAAACACTGCTAGCCTTTTAATACAGCATATGTTCTCATGTACTTTCTACGGCATTTAGAAACAGGAATTAGGAAACAGGACAACAATTTATATCTGTTTGGTCATCTAGCTCAGTTTTGTTTATTTTGATTGGCCATGCTGGTTGGAGATGAAGGGAATATGATTCCTATCCCTCTTTTTTTGCAGTTTTCAAAGTCTTTCCAATCACAATTGCCTAATTAGTGGCATGGATTCCTGCTGTCTGGGGACAGGAACGCACCTAAATTGTAATGTAAGACCCTTGCATCTGTGAAAAAAAACAGAATAAGCCTTGACCCATTGTTGCAGTGCTTAAAAATGTTCCGTAGCCTCTACCATGGATTGTTTGAAAGTAAAAATAGAATAACAGAATAACAGAGTTGGAAGGGTCTTCTGCCCAAACCCCTGCTTATGCAGAAAAACCTAAACCATTTCAGACAAATAGCTGTCCAGTCTTTTTTTTTAAAGTTTCCAGTGATGGAGCACCCACAACTTCTGAAGGCAAGCTGTTCCACTAGTTAATAGTTCTCACTGTTAGGAAATTTCTCCTTAGTTCTAGGTTGCTTCTCTCCTTGATTAGTTTCCATCCATTGTTTCTTGTCTTGCCTTCTGGTGCTTTGGAAAATAATTGTGGCATAATTGTGGCAGCCCCTCAAATGTTGGAACATTGAATGGCAGGCATACAAGGAATTCTTTGGCCATGTGTTTCTTAGCAGGAAGGGAAGAACTAATTGGTCACTCTTGAAGAGAATAAAAAGATTTTTGCTAAATCATTACATAAATACACTTTTTTTCAGCCATCAAGGACACAAAACAAATCTGGTGACTTACCAGTACACCTTCATCACTTATTGTTCCAACAAGACACAGGCAGGACAAATTATTTCTCCTGCTAAATACAGCACACACACAAAAAAAATTCTATGCAAAACTTCTATAACTTACTCCAGAAAGAAAGATCACAGTTAAGCCCAAAGTGGCATCGTGCAGTGTTTCTCAGTAGGTGCTGTACTATTCGCAGAATTTAAAAAGGAATTATAAAGAAATACTCTGTCTAACAAGTTCCAAAGACATAGACAACACTAAGAGCCTACAAAGGAGTCAAGGCATTGTCACTGTTACACGTGGATTTCTTCTAAAGTGGAAATGTAGATGCAGTTCACTTTGTCTGGAAAGATAATTTGTACATGGAGCAACCTTAGTTATCCTTCTGGAAAATCAATTATCCATTTTTGCACAGAATAAAAGATGGCTAGTATAAGCGGATATCTTATCCCTGTTACTTATAACAAAGACTTTGTAGGTTCTGTTTGAGATAACCATACATGTAGGGTAAGCATGCATGGGATATGAAAAGTGTCTTAAAGTATGACTGTAGATGTTTAGAGAAAGTATCTTTCATTCCCCTCTTCCCTCTTTCCAGGTTGCTTGGATGACCTTGCTATCATTGAAGACATAACTTATCAATTATCTGCTATTTCAAACACTGTCTCTGCTGGGCTGTTATTTTCTCTAAAACCCTACCATCAAAAGGCACTTTTGGACTGGTGCATCTTTTCCTTCTTATGGCAAAAGGTTCTTCTGAAACTAGAAGCCAAACCAGATCTGTGTTTTGTTTACTTAAAAACAAAAATTCAAGCTGATTTCTCCTTAAGTCCATGTCTCCATGGGCACTATGGATTCTTTTGTTCCAACAGAGGGAAGCAAATACTCTTCATCCAGGAAACGAAAGGGAAACTGAACTAGAAATCCACGGATCTTCTTCAGTTCTTCAGCTGCTTTAGTGGGATTCTCACAAGCAAGCTTTGGTTTATTGATGAAATCCCGCAGGTGAGTTAAGTTATTGACTTCATCGCTAGGTAGACATCGGAAAACCTAATTGAGAAGAGGAAGAGTGAAGAAAAAGGTGTGAGAACAGATCTCTCCCTAAGTACATGTCTATACTAGAAACTTGCCCAACTGCTTTAGTCATATTACCTCTGTTCATAGAATTTTAGAACTTTAACAAAGGATTTTCATAATCACTGGGTTCCCCCTCCCCCAAGATTTTTTGGAGACAAGTCAAATTAATGTTTATATTTACATTCTGATTGATGTTAGGACCTTAAACTGCTCCAGCCCTCTTTCAATTAAGAAGAAAATTATCACTGGTTTTTCACACGCCCTTGAAAGCAAAGCTGCCAGCTATAAATATATAGGTAGTCCTTGACTTACGACCACAATTGAGCGGAATATTTCCTTTGCTAAGCAAGGCAGTTGTTAAATGAGTTGTGCCTCATGTTATGACCTTTTCGGACACAGTTGTTAAGTGAATCATACAATTGTTCAGTGAATCATTAAGCTGTCAAGCAAATCTGTTTTCCCCCATTGACTTTGCTTGTTGGAAACCAATTGGGAAGGTCATGAATGGTGATAACTTGACTCCAGGTCAGTGCAACTGTCATAAATACATGCGCCCAACTATGGGGAGGCTACAGTGGCTGTAAATCATAAGTCACATTTTTCAGTGCTGTTGTACTTTTGAGTAGTCATTAAACCAGGGGTAGGCAACCTTGGCTCTTTTATGACCGTGGACTTCAACTCCCAGAATTCCTGAGCCAGCTATGCTGGCTTAGGAATTCTGGGAGTTGAAATCCACGAGTCATAAAAGAGCCAAGGTTGCCTACCCCTGCATTAAACAAATGGTTGTAAGTCAACGACTACCTGTATATAGGTGAGAGAGAGCTTCTTTGGATCTATGGTTTAAGGATTGTAATTCTGATCAGGGGGTTTGAGATCATGCTACAGATATAACCCAATTGTTTCACCATATACCTGGGATAAAGGTAGGCATGTTTTCAGGTGTTGGGTTTGTCTACGGAGATTCTCAGTCATCCACGTCATGGTTGTCCCAAAGGTGCTTTTTCAAAGGCAACTGGACTGTCTTTGTTTTTCCTTGAAGATTTTTGCTTCTCATCCAAGAAACGTCTTTAGTTCTGATGAGAAGCGAAACGTCTTCAAGAAAAAACTAAGAAAGTCCAGTTGCCTTTGAAAAAGCACCTTTGGGACAGGTGTTGGGTTGTAAAAGGTAAAAACAACCATGCTTTAAAATGGCCAACCATCTTGCAGATTGCCAAGTTTCATAAATGTCAAGGCTTTCATAACTGAGGCATGTCATACAAGAAAACTAAAACTAAAACCCCATGAGAGCACAAGCATTTTGCAACACTGGGTGATCTTGCAAACTTTCAGTCAGTTGATTTTTTTAAAAAGTTATCTTTAGTTCTAAAGTTCTGGAGTCACCTCCAAGTGTTGCTGTGTGGGCATTCATAGCAATACCACATCACTGATCCCTAAATCAAGACATTCTCTAATATGGATGTAAAATGCTTTTTGGACTTGATTCCAAAAGTTGGCGTGAGGTGAGCAGGAGCACATACATAGCTTAATATTTCCCTCCCTCCCCATGGTTCAGTGTCAGTGCTGCCATCCTACTTCGTCTTTCCACTGCTTTGCTGATGCCAGACTGCCATGAACCCTGGGGGGAAGGAACACTGAAGTGGGGAGGGGAAGAAGAGAAACAAACCACCCCAAGTGGCTGCTAGAGGCATCGGATGACTGACCCCAAGGATAGGCTTGGGAATGAAATGCGAACCATTGCCAAGCGTACCAAACATTAGAACTATTACCAAAACAATATGTTTGAATCTAACTGGATACTAGGGAAATAACGGGGGGGGGGGAGTAAGTTGGCAGCTTTCGTGTGTAAACCTCAGATCTGGCTTTTTATGCTTTGTAACCACTTGTCTTAGTAAAAGTATTCCTTTCACTACAAATGCAGTCAAAGGCTCTTCTTGTATAAATGGCCAAGTTGGGACAAATCCGACGCATAAACACACAAGTCAGGGACTTATTAAAGCAAGGTTGGGTGACTTCTAAGAATTGGACAGCCCTATTCATGAATGCCAGAGTTGGAGGTCTTCTAGTCTAACCCTCTCCTCAAGCAGGAGACCCTATACTGTTCCAGATAAGTGGCTGTCCAGTCTCCTCTTAAAACCTTCCAATGATGGAGCCCCCACAACTTCTGAAGACAAGCCGTACCTTGCATACAGCTTGCCTTCAATACTCATGCCTTTCAATAACAAGTGTGAAACAGAATTCCATACTTCACCTTCTCAAAAATAGTGGCATTGCGTGCTGCTGTTGTAACCCACACTTCTTTAAAGAATTTGTCACTTACGGGGTCCTGGATATCATTCAGCTCTATTGAACTGCCAAGAACAACCCTGAAGAATTGGATAAGGGAAAAGGAAAAAAAAAAAAAAAAGAAAATTGCACACAATTAAACTGGTAGATGTTGTTAATAGTGTGAACAATTTTGAAATTGGGAAGATGAAATACAATCCCACAGGGTGCTAATAAAATATAAGGACATTCTTCCAATAGAAACCAAACCAAGAACGGTCGTGATTATCAACCTAACGTTTGGCTGTTTTGTGTCGAAGCTTCTACACAGGTTTCAGCAGCTAATCTATATGTTGCCAAAGGGGCAAAATGTGCATGATCAGATAAGCTCCATGTCTTGCTTATTTGTGTATTTAATGTTTTAAATCCTGCCTTTATTATTTTTCTAAAGGTGATAAATACTTTTCAAAAAACTGGATTTCCTTGGTTTTTTTCCTTGAGAACATTTCACTACTCATGCAAGAAACTTCTTCACTTCAAGAACTGAACTGAGAACTGAGGAAGCTTCTTGGATGAGTAGTGAAATGTTTTCAAGGAAAACAAACCAAGGAAGTCCAGTTGTCTTTTGAACAGCACATTTGGGACAATCATCATCTGGATGACTGAGAATCTCCATAGATACATAATACTCCTTCCTCCTTCTATTTCCCATCCCTGTGAGATGGGTTGGGCTGAGAGGGAATGACTGGTTCAAGGTCACCCAACTGGCTTTCATATTTAAGGAGGGACTAGAATTCACAGTCTCCCGGTGATTGGCCCAAAGTCACCCAACCAGCTTTCATGCCTAAGGGGCAGTGGTAGGATTCAGCCAGTTCGCACCCATAATGGACTTCCAGAAGCAACATTCACACAGAATTGGTTGTTCACATATTTGAATCCCACCACTGTTAAGGGGAGAGTAGAACTCATAGTCTCTTGGTTTCTAGCCTGACAATAGAGTAGAGTAAAGTAGAGTAGAGTAGAGTAGAGTAGAGTAGAGTAGAGTAGATGCTGGAAGGGACATTAGAGGTCTTATAGCCCAGCCCTGCTCAAGCAGGAGATACTATACCCTTTTTAGACAAGTGACTGTCCAGTCTCTTCTTAAAAATCTCCAGTGATGGAGCACCCACAACGTCTGAAGGCAAGCTTATTATCTTAACCACTTGACTAGACCAAACTGGGTCTTTTGTAGCTCATATGGTGCTATGAGGTAAATTCAATTGAGGTGGAGTTATGTGTTACAATGCACCTTTCAGAATTTGCTTTCCCAACCTGCCTTCTGCAAATGCCTGTGACTTTCTTGATTGACATTCATTGTAGGTGGTGGGAAAGGCCCGGATTTTAGAGTATCTGCAATGTGTGTTCACTTTGTGGGAGCTATTCTGCTGCTTATCTGCCCAGTTAGATAGCAGGGGTAAATTAAGAAGGTCTGTTAATTATATTTCCCACGCTGACAGTGGCAGCTTTAATTCTGAACAATTTTTTGAAGGAAGAACTTTGAACAAGCAGGCAATTATTATAAAGGCAATTAAACCTCTCCCCCTCAAAATAGGGAGAAGGAAGGCACGATTACTGCAAATGACTTTGAAGTTGAATAAAGGATGAGATGTTGTAAAATGAAAAGAGAAAAGATTAAACCATTAATCCAGGTTATGGTTTAATGGGTAGAAGTCTCCCTTTATCAGGACAGACTACTGTACAGCCTATCTTGTCCAATCATTATAGGTATATGCTGAGTGCCAAACCCCAAATTTCGATCAAATGACCATTGAGATGCTGCAATGGTCATAAGTGTGAGGATTAGTGGTAAGTCACTTTTTTCAGCTCTGTTGAAAGCTCGAACAGTTGTTAAACAAATGGTTGCAAGCTGAGGACCACTTAAATACACGTCTATGGAGATGCTTAATCATTCAGGTTATGGTTGTCCCAAAGGTTCAGAACTCAAGAAGCTTCTTGGATAAAAGGTGAAACTTTTTGAAAGAACCCCCCCCCCAAGTCCAGTTGCCTTTTGGAAAAGCACCTTAACACATATACCTACAGCTGGAATCATTTACCATTAAACTGAGAATAGGCCCCACTGAACTAAATAGAAGACCTGGCTGAATAGAAAAGCATAGGATTGTCTATTCTGTGGGTTCTAAGGCAATCAAATGACTGGAAATCCTTTTTAGATTGGCTTTATTCCTACTTTTCTCGAAGCAGTTTTGTCAACTGTGGTACCTAAAACATTGAAGGCGAAGAGACTGGGCAAATCTTCCTGCTTTGTAGTCTTCCCCATCCATCACTGAAGCAACCATGTCGGTATCCTCCACAATGACAGCCATTTCACTGTCTCTTTTCCCCAACATGCTTCTGTCATTGATGTTTGCGGAGCCTGTAACGACACAGCATTGGCAAAGTTGCAAATGTAAGGGATAAATAAATAACTATTTTAAAAATAGCTCAGAGGTCCCTAACTGGATCCAATGTCCTATGTTTCGAACTCTACCGTAATCTACCCAATCATCAAGTTTGATCCACGGTAATAAAAAAAAAGCTCTAAAATAATACAATAAATAAATGTAAGAAAATGTTAGGTCTTATTTCATTAGGTAACCAATAGCTGATCTGGAGGACTGTATTACATTTTATACAAAAATAAATAAAAATATAGTTTTTATGAGCAATTGTCTAGAACAAGTGATGGCTTTCAAATTCGGGATTTGATGAAACCAAATATTTGGGCTTCGCAAGAATTTTGGTCCAATATGGAATCTCGGACAAAAACGGCCATGATAGCATTATGGTAAAAATTAGATGGGGAATATGTTATGGTGGGTTCTGCTGGATCTCTAAGTAGTATAGATAGCACAGGGCAAGAATTAAAAATTTGTGGTCCTCAGTAGTTCCTGAACTTTGATCCTAACCAACATTTCTGGTTAATGGGAGTTGCAGTCCAACATTTGTATGTCGCACTTGTTGTCATAGATCAGGGGTAGGCAACCGTGGCTCTTTTATGACTCGTGGACTTCAGCTCCCAGAATTCCTGAGCCAGCCATGCTGGCTCAGGAATTCTGGGAGTTGAAGTCCATGATTCATAAAAGAGCCACGGTTGCCTACCCCTGTATTAGGTCATGGAATCCTTCTGGGCACCTTGGATCTAAAGCTTATCTATAATCAGATGAATAAATTTTGAGTAAGCAACTGTATTAAGTGCAAGAAAATCTACTGTTCCGTTGCTTAACTGGATCTAAACGCAGTGTGCTTAAGGAAGAGCCAAAAACCAAACTGTTACTTCTTTTTTTGTTGAGAAAAAGTAATTTATTGGATTTTTTGCAGTGCAAATCTAATGATAACACTTTTCTTTCCTTTACAGGATTTTTTTAGTCTTTGCATACTGGAGAAAAAGGGATCTTAATCATGGAAAGACAGCAAATTAACTGCAATGAATCAGGGCAGGAGAGGTGAATAGTTTCTGGCATTTTCTGCTTCAAATGCCAAAATAAATCTGAAAGGTTTGCTTATTACGCATTGAGGAGGAACTGCTCTATGCTATTCTGCATTTGCCAGCCTCAGATGCATTTCTTATGTCTTGTGGGCCACATTTCCTTAATTCAGAGTAGTAGACATACTGGACAATACTTTCTATCTTTTTTTGCTTAGTTAGCTTTCAGCACAGCTATGGATTTAAGATACCCATTAGGGCCTGTTTAAAATCTTCCTTTACTGGCAGATGGGAAAGAGAAGGCTGGATCATCTTGTCAATTTGTGCGTATGTGTGCATATTAATCAATCCATTTCTCTTTCATAAAAAAAAGGAAAGAAAAAAAAGGTGTGACAATAGATAGCAGATTGAAGATGAAGGTTGCTGAAGGGAGGCTTTATGTCAAAGGTACTGCTTAGTATAAAGAGTCAAAGCCATGTAAAGTAATATCCAAGACAATTTGTTTTTTTATTACTCATTTGACCATATTGAAAAGCTATAAAAACAATACAAAGAAAAGGAGGACATATTGATAATATATTGTTTGCCTTGCTTAAAGTCATTAAAATCCAATAACTATTGGGATACCAAGAATAAATTATTACACATATTGCAGGGTACATACTTATATACAGCTAGGGGGGGACTCTGTTTTTATATAAAAAGATTAAGAGAGTGGATTACATAGAACATAACTGCAGGGCAATGATATATTATCAATATATCCTACTTTCCTATTGTTTTTACAACTACTTGATATGGACAAAGGACTAATCAATAAACCAATTGAACTGAATTAGAACAGCAATGTCACAAAAAAGTCCGTGTGTGTATGTGTGTGTGTGCGTGCATGGGTATGTGTAGAAATACCAACAGTTTTATAAATCCCAGCCTACAAAAGAAGGCTGAATAATTCTCAGTTCAAATCAGGAAAAAAAATAAGATTTATTTCTTCAGTAATTCCACAGGATTTCTGCAGAGTAGATTTATACATTATAGTGTCAACAACTCTGCCAGGAAGACTATTTCAGTTGAAAACTGTTGAAACACAGGAAATGCAGGGCCAGTTTTAAGTATGTAAGGGTTGGCTCAATGTTGGAGGCATTTATTCTTCTCCAGAGATTCAGTAAAATAAGAAGATATTTCACCTATTAGGCATTTTGTTTTAAAATGTCAGCTTTCTTTCTTTTTATGTGCTATCCTATGCCTTTAAGCCAGAAGAATCTACTTTGGGGAATACAGTTTGTTCTGGATAAATGTATTGTACAACTATGGCTATTGGATTTTTCTCTTTGTAGAGCAATACCACCATTGTTGCTTGGTATTAATTTTGTCATGTCCCCCTCCTGAACTAATGTGCTTCTAATTTACCTATCTTAGGCTGGCTGCTTCCTAAATTTAATTATGCAATTACTTATTGTAAAAAATTTAAAAAATCCCATGAAAGCAATAATGTAACTAGTTTAACTTAACTACTGAAGCTCAAATATTTTGGCCACCTATTGAAAAGAGAGGACTCATTGGAAAAGACTCTGATGTTGGGAAAGATTGAAGGCAAAAGGAGAAGGGGACGATAGAGGATGAGATGGTTAAATAGTGTCATTGACACAATGTACATGAATTTGGGCAAACTCAGGGAGAAAGTGGAGGATAGTGGGGCCTGGTGTGCTATGGTCCATGGGGTCGCAAAAAGTCAGACATGACTCAGTGACTGAAGAAAACCTAATTACTTGTACAAAAGACAGCTTTAATATCACGGGTGCCCATATTCTGCAGAATTCTCTAATCTTTCTTGAAAATCAGAAGCTGGAGGGCATTCCTCATCTTCGGTGGGTATCCAGAGAGCGCAGGATACTGAAAAATTACACCCGCCATGCTTCATTTCTAACAGGATGGGGAACCAAAGAAATGCATATATCAGGTCAAATCTGGGCAGGAATGATCCTCTTAAAGCTATGTAGGGATTTAAACATGATAGGCAGAACTTTCACTTGGACCCAGAAGCAAACTTGGAACCAGCATAGCAACAGCAGGAAGTATCTGCTGATGTGGAATTCACGTGCTATAAATCCTAAATTCTATGCTTAGGGTGGGGTATGTGACACACCCACGTTCAGATCTGCATCACCTATTCAATTTGGAGAAAGATTGAAATTGACAAATCAATCATCCACTTCAATGACTGATTCAAAGAGTGAGTCATTCAAACTGGCCTCTAAATGAAACTCCGAATTGGCCCCATGGCCCTCTTGAAATCTGCAGAGATATATGGCAGGGATGGTCAACTCCCAAACACTGGTACTTAGCAAATTTCTTCCTTACCCAGTACTTTTTTTGTAAAATAAATAAAATAAAATAAAAAATAAGGTGCCAGAACTCACACACGTCATACAACCCAGCTTGCCTACCGTACAAGGTTCCATCCAAAAAAAGGTGCCGGAACTCCGTTCTGGGCGTTCTATGAGAAAAAAAGCCCTGCCCTTACCAATAATGACTGTGTTGTCATCAGCAACCAGCAGCTTGCTGTGGACATAGATCAGTTCAGTAATGAGTTTCCCTTCCAGCTCAGCATAATTTCGTAGTCCACAGAATGAAATGTAATTAATCCACTGATTTCCAACTGAAGGGTTACCATTAAGAAATGGAGGATGAACAATAGAAGAGAAAAAAAAAGAACAGAAAAACTTTAGGACTTTAAAAAGTAGAAGAAATGAAAACAGGAAGTTTTACAAGTTTTTTTTTTTTTTTTACAGTATGTAAATGACAGAAATGTGGGTTTGGTTTAATTGTTAGAATACATTTCTTGACAGTAATAGCCCGTTAAGCCAAGTACCTAGGGAGACCTGCCTACTGTCTAGAACACTTCAGATATATTATTCTTAATTACTACAATTCCAGGCTATCATGATCTCTAGCAATGATTGTTAGAATTATGGGACATAGCATCAGATTGGTGGAAGATGTCTTGGAGGGCAGGACAGCAATTCTGGATTTTCTGCATCAAGTTATAATACAGAGTTAGATTAGATAACATTCGATCCCACTAATCCTATATTCTGTAACTACAGTAGAAAAAAGAGCGTGTAACATGGGTGCAAACATCTATATCTGAAAAGTGGATTTATGGGCATTTTTATTCTATCATTCATCTAATGTCTACCAAAGGGGGGAAAAAATAAACATTCTCAATTTGACTACCTAGCAGTTTTGGAATAAATCCAAATTTCAACTCCCCAGATCCTTATGACTGAGCCTAGGGAGTTGGCTTGCTGGAATGACATCAAATAAAATCAGGAGAAGCAGCTCATTTAGAATCACATCCAAAGGGATGCATAAGATAGCAGGGTTTTTTTTTTTCTTCCCAGACACCCAGATGTTGTTTTGCTAGTTTGTTTTCATTATTTTTGAAGATTTCCCTGACACAATTGAAGCCTCCTACATTAGCAATTATATAATCCTGAAATTATTCCAGCTATTATGTGCTTTATGGCAGATCAATCAAGGTTTGGTTGGTATCCTCAAGACCCAGTGGTGAGGGGAACACAGAGACCCAAGCAAAGGACTTACTTTCAGCTTTCAGCTGTCCCAAGATTGAATTTTCTCCTCTGCACATGGTCCTACATTTACAAAAGAGCAACATGTGAATGAGTTTATAAGAATGCGTTTAGCTGAAATCATCAGATACATCTCTCTCTATTTCTCTCTCTCTCTTTCTCTCTGTCTCTCTCTCTCATCCATCCATCCATCCATCCATCCATCTATCCATCTATCTATCTATCTGCAGTTCCAAAGATTGCACTGAGATCATGAGGTCCAGAAAATATTGAAAAACCTTAAGTTGCAGAACGCCTAGAAAATGTTTTTGCTTTCTCTGTCTTAAAGGAAGTCAGCAATCTGAAGCCTCAGGCTCTTCTCTGTGCAACCTGAAATCTGAAGCCTTAAGGCTATGTCCTAATGTATATGAATTCAGGTTACAGAGCTCCTTTTGAAAGTCAGGGGAAAAAAGCAAAGAAAACAACAGTGTTGTCCAATACTTGGCTGACTTCAGCTGATCTAGAAAAGCTAAGCAATGGGAGATCATCATCTAATAATGGAGCAGTAGGCTGAACTGGGAAATCAATAAGATATCCTAGAACAGGGGTGTCAAACTCAATTTCACTGAGGGCCGCATCAGCATTGTGGTTGCCCTGGGAGGGTTGGGGGGGGTAGCCAGAGTGGGTGCAGCCTACTTTGTGGGTGTGGCCAGTTCTACATCATTCCCCTCAAGGGTGCCTATGGGGGCCTGGGCAGAAGTGGGACAGATCTGAGGGTCTCTGACAGAAGGGGGTGGGACCAGGGCAAGTGCCAAGGCATGGTCCACCAGGGCAAGTGCCACGATGGCCATCACAAAATTGTACATTGGCTCCCGGCTGGCCTGGGCCAGGGCCAAGGCAGCGGGGGCCGTTCCCTCACTCTTTCCAGGATGGCTTTGTGAGCCACATGAAACCACTTTGCGGGCCGCATCCGGCCCCCGGGCCTTGTGTTTGACATGTCTGTCCTAGAAGAAAGCAAGGTCAGCCATTTCTCTTGCCAAGAAAACTACATGGTTGTGTCTATGACAGAGTTCCCCAACCTTTCCGGGGTTGGAGGCCTGGATGGGAGGGGGAGGAAAAAAAGAGGGGATGGTTTTGTAGGACCGGTAGTGGGCCGTGGCCCACAGGTTGGGGCCCCCTGATCTATGACATTAGCAGGAGTTGAGATCAATCTGATGAAAATGTTACTTTTTATGCAACAGCTCCTGTGACTTGTCAATCATACAGTGAACTTAAGACTTGTCCTCAATAACTTATTCGAAGAAAGCTTTCTGACTGTGTCTCAGAACTGTTGGACATATTTGTATGGAGGAAAATTAAATATGACCATAGGCTATATGTGGATTTCCAGATATAGAACTGGAAAATTCCCATCATGGACAACAGCAATATATGATGGGGACAGTAGTTTGGAAAAAAGACTATAGGTCACTTGGACAAATAGGTGCCTAGACTGGGAAAATAAGGGAGCTTCTTATGCTTCTAAATAAATATACGTATGCCACCCTAAATAGGAATCACTGTACAGATTTTCCAAGCTTGGCATGTTTCCATCTTAGAAGTTCTTCAAGGCAACAAGGTAGACACAAAAGACCCTCTTTGAACACAATTGTAAATGGGCAGTACTAAAGCAAGTCCTATATCAGATCTGGTCTACTGAACAATACCAATATGTAAGACGTAGAACATACAACATGGAACAGGGTTGGAAGGGACTTTGGAGGTCTTCTAGTCCAATCCCCTGCTCAAACAGGAGACCCTAATATCATTCTGGACAAATAATTGTCCAGTGTCTTCTTGAAAACCTCCAGTGATGGAACACCTACAACTTCTGAAAGCAACCTGTTTCACTAATTCATTGTTCCCACTGTCAGGAAATCTCTTTAGTTCTAGGCTGGTCTCTGTTTAATGTATTTTACACCTGTTACTTGTTGTCCTGTCCTCGGGTGCTTTCAAGAATAGGCTGACCCCTTCTTTTCTATAATAGCCCCTCAAATATTGGAAGACTGCTCTCATATCAACCCCAGTTCTTCTCTTTGTTAGACTAGACATACTTGGTTGCCTCAATCATTTTGAAAATCAGTATTAAAAATATACATGCCCCTATGTATCACTTAATTTATTTTGAAGTAGGTATCTGTAAAACAAAGAGGTAGGCTGCCCCACCCACAATCACAATACACAATGGGAAAAGGAAAGAAGAAAGATGAATTAAAAAGGCAGAAAACGCATTCTAGATTTTCTTGGCGAGGCACAACCCCAAACTCAGTGCTCCCTCTGCTGACTCTTTAGCAGAAATACATAATAAAATGAGCTTTGTTCAACTCTGAGAAGGTCTAACACTGACCCTGTTGGATTGCTGGCAAGAGGAAATGGGGTTGAAGATGCTTAAAGTGATTCAAAAACTTATTATAAAATATTGTTTTACAGCGGTTTGCACTAGTTATTTTATAAACTGCATTTCCACTTCAGGGCTTGGACTGGTGAAGACCCTGAGATGTTTGTGTTGTTTCCAATGGTATTGTTGTCCATCATAGCTGCACAGTTCCCTGCCAGCTCTCCATCACCTTTCCTCCCCAACTCGATGGGACATAGCTGGGTTCCTGAGTAGTTTTCTATGAAAGCATCACTCAGACTAACACCTATTTAGCTTCAACTATATTGCTGCTTTATGTGAAGCTACTCCTCACTGCTGCTTCTTATCACTGTGATAATCTTAAAGACGGGATCTTTTTCTTTGAATGCCTGCTCAAAATGCCAGTTTTTGAGTCAAATGAACCCCAATAGCAGCCTCGTTTTGACACACAGAGAATAACACCTGTGTATGATTTGATTACAAGAAATACTTCATGAGCGTATGTTCTCTACTAATTCTGAATATTTAAAGGTTGGGTAGAGGGCCCAATTTTAGTCTGCCATATCAGGGACATGTTTAGCCTTAGTACTACATTAATCCATTTTTACAGCTTCAACAATAAACTGAACCATCAGTAAGCATAACATAATATGCTAAGCCAAATATTTTTTCTTAAGGTTAATGCTACCCAAACTAAACATGCTGCATAAATGAATCTTTTAGATCCTCACCTAACTATTTTATGTGAATGTAACCAGAGTCAGAGAATCGGATATATGTTAATTTTGATATCACTTTTTACTTCCTTTCTCCTTCCTTTTCCTTCCATGTTGCCAATGGAAACTCAGTAGGATAGGGCCCTACTATGAATCTAGAAACTGCCAACATTTACTGTACCTAAACCCTAAACAAATAAAACATGTAACACAATCTATAATTTAAAATTTAAAGACACCCTTCCCTTTAACACAAGCACAAGAGAAGTAGAATTTCCTATAACTTTATCAGCTAGTAAACTGGAAGAAAGGTTATAAAAATGAAATAAATTCTACAGATCTAATCACAGATTCTTGGCTAAAAGTCTACCACTATCTCGGAGAAAAAGGATTACTCCAGCAAATGATTCTTGCTTGCTTTTCCTAGATGTTCCTTGAATCTGACAAATTGAAACTTTAAATCAGAGTCTCTGGAACAATTTTTATCTAAGCTTTTTCCTATCACAGTAGCAGGTTTGTTTTCCCAGAAGATCTAGCTCCCATTTCAAACAACAGAGTAACTTTTCTCTTTAGCAGAAAGGCCTAAGATGAAGAAACTTTTCTTGAAAATCTCAACTACACTTCAGTCTACAGATCCTATGTATTGGATGTGTCCAAGAGCTAGCATCTTTGTTCTAGTCCAAGGTACATTATGGAAGAAGAAAAAGAAATGCCTTGGTAAGACCACGCTTGGAATATTGCATCCAGTTTTGGTTGCCACGATATAAAAAAGATGTTGAGAATCTAGGAAGAGTGCAGATAAGAGCAATAAAGATGATTAGGGGACTGCAGGCTAAAATATATGAAGAATGGTTGCAGAATGGTTTAATGAAAAGAAGGACTAGGAGGTAACCTGATAGCAGTGTTCCAATATTTGAGGGGCTGCCACAAAGAAAAGGGGGGGGGTCAAGCTATTCGTCAAAGCACCTGAAAGCAGGACAAGCAACAATGGATAGAAACTAATCAAGGAGACAACCAGTGGTGGGATTCAGCCAGTTCGCACCAGTTCAGCCGAACCGGTAGCTAATTTTTTGTTGCCCAGAATGGACTTCCAGAAGCGGCATCCACACAGAGAACCGGTTGTTCACATATTTGAATCCCACCACTGGAGACAACCAACCTAGAACTAAAGAGGAATTACAGTATCCAATCTGGGTCGGTCACTTTAGTTTTTCCAAGCTTTCGGATATGCTGGAACCCATCCTCAGGACCCAGATTGGATCCTGCAACATTATCCTGGGACACCTATATTCACTTTCATTGGTAAGGAGAAATTTCCTAATGGAATGAATCAGTGAAATGACTTGCTTCCAGAAGTTTTGGGTGCTCCAACAGTGGAAGATTTTAAGAAAAGATTAGACAACCATTTGTCTGAAATGATATAGGGCAGTGGTGGCAAACCTATGACACGGATGCCAGAGGCAACACTCAGAGCCCTCTCTGTGGGCATGTGCGCCATCGCCCTAGGCCTTCAGCTGGGTTTTATAAAACCTTTTCGTTGTAGGCTTCCACCACTGTGTACAAAAAAAAAAAGTTCAATCAGTCAATTTCAATTTATCAAGGGAAAAAAAAGATTTTGCATTTAGGCAAGAAAAACCAAATGCACAAGTACAGCATAGGTGGCACCATGCTCAATAGTAGTAACTGTGAGAGGGACCTCGGAGTCCTAGTAGACAATCACCTAAATATGAGCCAGCAGTGTGCTGCAGCTGCCAAAAAGGCCAACACAGTGCTAGACTGCATTAACAGAGGGATAGAATCAAGATCACGTGAAGTATTAATGCCACTCTTCAATGCCTTGGTAAGGCCACACTTGGAATACTGCATCCAGTTTTGGTCACCACGATGTAAAAAAGATGTTGAGACTCTAGAAAGAGTACAGAGAAGAGCAACAAAGATGATTAGGGGACTGGAGGCTAAAACATATAAGGAACATGATAGCAGTATTCCAATATCTCAGGGGCTGCCATAAAGAAGAGGGAATTAAGCTATTTTCCAAAGCACCTGAAGGCAGGACAAGAAGCAACGGGTGGAAACTAAAATCAAGGAGAGAAGCAACCTAGAACTAAGGAGAAACTTCCTGACAATGAGAACAATTAATCAGTGGAACAGTCTGTCTCCAGAAGCAGTAAATGCTCCAACACTGGAAGTTTTTAAGAAGAGACTGGACAGCCATTTGTCCGAAATGGTGTAGGGTTTCCTGCCTGAGCAGGGGGTTGGACTAGATGACCTCCAAAGTCCCTTCCAACTTTACTACTATTACTATTACCCAATGGGCCACACCCACCCAATGGGCCACACCCACCTAATGGGCCATGCCCACCCATCACTCGATGATGCATAAGTGGGTTTTGGGTTGCAGTTTGGCCACTCAGTCTCTAAAAGATTCGCCATCACTGATATGGGGTTTCTGCTTGAGCAGGGAGTTGGACTAGAAGATCTCCAAGGTCCCTTCCAACTCTGTTATTCTGTTATTCCTTTAGCCTAGCATTGCAGGCACCATAGTAATAAGTTCTGCTCATCATGAAATCTAGGCAGCAATAAAGATCCACATCTTAAGACTTTGTTTCAGCAGATGGCCCTATGGCCAAGGGCTTCTTTTACTCTGAAGCCTCTCTATTTGTTTTTTTGATTCTGGGCCAAGCATCCATTAGATTCCCTACTAAAATGCTTTACTACATTTTCGAAAATAAAAGGATCCAGGCCGGACCTGTAAAGTTACCTGTAGTTAAAATGCATAATGGCCTGAAGAGCATTGCTTCCTCCCGTTGAAATATCACCTTCAAAACCAGGCAGCAGGGGAATCACCACGTAGACTCGGTACCGTTTGTTTTCCCTAAAAGAAAAAAAAAACCAAGTAATTTAACTTTGTGACAATATTGTATATTTTACATTATTGGCAATTCAGTACAATACAGATAGTCCTCAGCTCAGGACTGCAATTGGGACTGGAATCTTGATTGTTGAGTGAAAAGTCATTAAATGAGAAGTTATGTGACTGTATTGCTCAAGAACCACAAACCCAGCACTCCTGATTACATTCATTAAGCAATCTCCCAGGTTCTTTAAGCAGATGGACCAAGGAGCTGCCTGCTGAAAGATTTCAGCTTCCCGCAAAGCTGAAATCTTCTGGCAGGCAGCCTTTTTGCTCTCAAAGAATTTGAAAAAGGAGTCCTATTGGCAGACAGTAGCAGCTTGCAACCTTCCCTGCCAGATTTCCACTGATTTTCTAAGGAAGGTTGCCAAGCTTTGAGAGTACAATAACGTGAATTCAGGAAAGGGTGGGATGCTTTGCAATGGCTGAAAGTCCATTATGGGCTACAAAGAACCCTTTCCAAGACTATCATAATTTTGAACCAGCATAAAAATAAACAGCCAAAAATTGAGGACTACCTGTAGAAGCACTCATGATGTTACCTAAACTAACTAAATATCTGCACCAAGAACTCCATAGTTCAACTATGAGCTGGAAGTGCTTTACAAGCCATAAAGAGTCCTGTTATAACTGTTATACTGTAATTTCGGATCAGCATTAAACAGTCATAAGTTGAGGACTACCTTGTGGAAAATGAAAATATTGGCTATTGTTCTTTTATGCAAGGTTTAGGCCCAGGTAAATTGAATCAGACCTCATGGACAAAGTATTGAACCAAAGTCTGTGCTATGCTTAATTTTGCAGTTTGCAATTGTATTTTATTTAATACGATTTTGCTAAGCTTGCTTGTTTCTAATATATTTAGAACACCAGGACTTTCTAAGAAATAGGGAATTGAAAGTAGCTGATGGGTGCGGGTTCCAATGTACACAGGCATATGTGAAAAGTTACGTTCAGCACAAGGTCAGCAGGAGGTTCAGTAAAAAGTCAACAAAAGTCAGCGGACCATCTGACTACAGTCTTAGAATGAGAAAGGATATAAAGGGTTGGGACTGGACCTGATTGATTTGCCATTGGCCTATAGCTGTCCTTTTGGAATCTGCTATTCCATATGGTCCTCATTGCAATGGGTTATTAATGTAAGTGATGTTGTGTTATTATGCTTGCTATGCTCCAAATCATTAGCAAAATAAACCTCTGAATCTTAAAATAAGAATTATTGTTTTGTGTTGCTGTCTCTTATCTTTTCCATTGGGTTTTTCCACAACAACCTGTACAGGCACTCATGATGTTATCTTTTTGGTAACTAAATATTTGCCAGAAAATTGCCAAGCTCAAAGAGCATCAAGGATGCCATAGTTCAACCCTGAGCTATAGATATTCTCTTATATTTGAAGAATGTATTTTAAAGATGTATATTGGGGATCGGGGAACTGATGGTTTATTTTAATATATAAACACAGAGAAATGGGGGTGGGTTTTATTTTTGAATTGTCTACATAAAGAACGATGATCTGTGAAACTTGTTAAACATGAAAAAGGGTGGTAGAGCATAAAAATAGCAAATTCTCTCACAGATTATCTTTACTTTACAGTTCTGCTATGCTTCTCACAGCCCTCCCATTTCACATATACCACACCAAATTACTAGACAAACAAGCAAGAACAGACATTGAACAAAGATTGGTAAAGCTTTGTTTGATGAACAAATTACATTTGGCAACACTTGTATTTTATAGATTTCAAATGATTTAATCAAGTTGTTAGCACTGCTAAGATCTTTCCCAACCTGGCACTTTCCAGAAACCCTGGACTATAATGTTGGTTATTATATTTTTAAAGCATCCAACAAAACTGAGTTGTCTCTGGGATAGAGATCTATATAACTCAGTGGTTCTCAACCTGTGATTTGGGGTCGAATGATCATTTCATGGGGGTCGCCAAACAAGGCAGTCCACCATTTTTTCCCCTTTTCCTTAGCTGTGCTACTCCCTTTTATTCTATTGGCTTTTGAAAGCCAATAGAATATACTCTCTTGAATAGAGTCTAATTCTATTGGCTTTCAAAAGCCAATAGGAATTGTCCAGGCTGTCTCTGCCCTGCTGAGCCTGCCAAAAGTCCCATTCTGCAAACGCTGCTGCACCAGTTGAGTAGTCCTCGACTTACGACCGGTTGAGTAGTCCTTGACTTACGACCGGTTGGGGGTCGCGGCATTAAAAAGGTTGAAAACTACTGATATAACTATTAAAACTCTCCTATTTGTATCTTTAACAGGGTGAAATGATGCCTATTAGGGCAACGCTTTTTCAACCAAGGTACTTCAAATGGGTTAACTTAAAGAATGCCCGGACCATTACTCTAATGAGAATGAAATTTTGGAAATTTCAGTGCTGTTGCTGTTTAGAACCGCCTCTGTGTTGCTGCAGTCATGTGATCCTCATTTACAACATTCCCTGACACCTTCTGACAAATCACTGGGGAAGCTTGGGGAGCTTGCAAGGAGGAAGTCAATGGCAATCATGTGACCTTAGCTGACAGTGGGAGCAAGGCAGCGGGTTGGGACTTGCCACTTCCTTCCTGTGAAGCTTTCAGTGAGAGAGTTCAATGGGGAACCATGCAGGGAAGGTTAAAAATTGCTCAGGTAAGGATGACCCAAAGAATGACCCATGGGTTGTCTAGTATCTATTTAAAAGACAATATAAAATATATTGAAAAGCAATCAAACTAATAATAAAAACAACTACGTATATATAAAAATAGCAGCAACATTTAAATAACAACAACAAAAATAAATAAACCAAAATAATATGAGCCACAAATATATAGTGGCTCCAAAATGGTTGATTAAAATGCTCAGAAAAAATTGAAAACACTTAGAAACATGTGCCGGGCAAGTCTCTCTGATATAGTAGAAACTGTAGCCTCACTTTTCAGGAGACTATCAGGCTGGGGAAACTAACTAGCTCCAAATCTACCCAAAATTTAATTCCCAGTATTATTTGAAGGAACTGAAGTTGTATTGAGCAAAAATAATTTTGTAATACAGGTCACACCAAAGAGAAATCCATACTTTCATAAAAAATTCATCTTCTAAGAACAACAACCGAATAAAATCATATGAATATTTCTGAAGCCAAACTAGGAAATACAGCTGCTATCACTCATTCTGATTTGCAAACTGCCTTTCCTTTTTAATCCTAAAGTATTGCTCTTATCTGAATTGACAGATTATTATCATGCTGACCAGCCAATTTCTGGGCTATTTTATTTCCGGAGAAGCCCTTGTGTCTGTTTAGTTAGAAATCTTACATGCATGTACTACACCCATAATGTGTAAGTTGCCAATGTGTAGAATTGACATGGAGACTAGCTTTCCAAATACACACGTTACAATTTGGAATGGTTAAAAAGGATGACTTTGTATTGAGATTTAATCCAAGGAGACAGGCAGTAACCAGTAGGTGGCGAACATCATGTGGCTTGGATAAAATTGACTGGGGAAATGGTAATCCATCAGTAATTAGTTTCTGAGCCTTTAAAAGGCACTTGGGGCTTTTGAAGAAGAAACAGTCAACATCATATTAACTAATTAAAAATAATTTTAGATAATTAATACCAGACATATGAAAAGTTATATGACAATAATGCCAGGCTAATGCAATGAAAAGTCCTTTCACCAAGTCACAAAGGAGGTGAGACTTCTGGGTTGCAAAGAGCGCAATTTTAAATGATATATTCATTTCAACTACAGCAACTATTTCTGCCATCAGAGGTCATGCTGAACAGAATGGGAAATCAATCAATTTTCACACTTCCAAAGTGTAAGATAATATTTGAATATTTCAGTTTTGTAAGGAGTCGATTCTAAGCAAATTTTGCAAATCCCTTATGGATATACATCACTATGAACAGCAGCATCTGCAGAAGATTGTGGAAAAGCTGAATCAAGTAAAACCTCTATTAATGCACTAACGTATTCATGTAGTCATCAGGGATTGAATTTATGCATAGTGAGTTGAAATCTCCCTGCAAACCATACAGAACACTCCGAAGCATAGAATTACACTGTGTAGATCATGGGTGGTGGTGGTGGTCCAAACTTTTGTTTACCTGGGCTGCCCTGAGTGAAGAGGAATTGTCTTGGGACACATGTAAAATATATATTCAGGTAGTCCTTGTGTCAAAGCAAAACATCTGTGGATGAGAGTTTAGCTAGATGTAACAATATTAAGACCTAGTGTGTGAATCAAGGTTATTGAAATAAGAGATGATAAGAATTGGTGGGTTGGAGAATTGGAGGGAAAGCCTGCATTTCAAACTAATTGGAGAATGTGATTTATGACTGTTAATTTGGAGGAGGGAGTTATGCTTTGATACTATGTGCTCAGGGGAGGGGAATTCAATTTTGACTTTGACTGTGTTAGTACCGATGCTATGCTTCTCAAATAAAGATTCTTTAAGGTAAACAATGCCTCGAAGTTCTTTGAAGAATTTCATCTGTTGGAACCATGACACCTTGACTTACAACCATTTGTTTAGTGACCGTGCAAGGTTACAATGACATTGAAAACAGCAACTTATGATTGCTTTTCACACTTCCAACCACTGCAGCACCCCTGTGGTCAAGTAATTAAAATTCGGACGCTTGGCAATTGCCATGTATTTATGACCACAGCTTTATATCAGGGTCATGTGATCACCTTTTATGACCTTCTGACAAGCAAAGTCAATGGGGAAGCCAGATTCACTTAACAACCATGTTACTAACTTAACAACTGCAGTGATTTGCTTAACAACTGTGACAAGAAAGGTTGTAAAATGGGGCAAAAATTACTTAACAACTATCTTGGTTAGCAATAAAAATTTTGGGGTCAATTGTGGTCATAAGTCAAAGATTACCTGTGATATAGTTAATGTATATAAATCGCATACTAGCTTTCCAGGGTTGTGGGTTGGACATA